ATAGGCACTGTTGTTTGGTTTTTGGGATAAAAAGATTTCTTAAAAAGACAGAATCTAGGGCGCCTGGGTGGCTCAGTTGGTTCAGCGACTGCCTTCGGCTCAGGTCATGATCCTGGAGTCCCAGGATCGAGTCCCGCATCGGGCTCCCTGCTCGGCAGGGAGTCTGCTTCTCCCTCTGACCCTCTCCCCTCTCATGCTCTCTCTCTATCTCATTCTCTCTCTCAAATAAATAAAAAAAATCTTAAAAAAAAAAAAAGACAGAATCTATTCTCAAGAAGTTCATGGTCTAAAGAAACAGATAAACAAATTCCATTCAGTCTCAGAGTTATTTTTAAAAAGGAAAATTCAAGAACTTCCTTTTCTCCTCTTGTAAAACACAGATCACCGTATCTGCTTCCTTCCTTAACTGCGCTCTCTCAGTTATCTTTGTAATGTAATGAGCTATCTTTATAACTCATTTTTGGCACATGAGTATCCATAGCACACTGGATGGGAAAGCTTGTCAATCTGAAAACACTGGTCAGACCATTTCACCACAGAGTCACCATCATACTGTCCACTCCACTCCAGCTATGATGAGCATACGGACCAGTGGCCATATTACCAACCACCCACCTTGGCCTCTCCCCAGTCCTATTAGCTTGGCTGATACAGCTCTGATTCTGCCCTCCAAAAGAGATATATGTCTATCTTCTTTGTTTAGAGCCTTTAAAAAAAAAAAAAAGTATCTATTGGCAGGTGAAGACCCATATAATAGCCATGAAATAAACACCTTTCCTCTAAAGTCTTTCTCAGTTTCCCATTTCAAAGCCTGTGCCTTATTGCATGAGGGCCGTCCAGCTCAAAGCCGCACCTCAGATGTTGTTTGCCTGACAAGTCATTGCTGACTCCGGCAGAAAAGTCTTTCAAGTACGTAAAACTTAAACATTTCCTCCCACCACACTGCAATAGCTAAGCAGGGTGATAAAATAAATATGGTAATTTTGAAGATCAAAGACGGCCTTCAAAAAGGGCATGTGGTTAATTCCACTTACCATGCTTGATCTGTATTTACCAAAGAAAGCTGGAAATGCTGAGCCTGGCAATGAAGCCGGCTAGCTTGTTGGTTCTCACTGTTGGACGACAAAAAGCTGGATAGCTGGGGATAGTAGATCCAGCTGATGTCCCACCAGGCACAGAAACAGGAAGATATCCAAAGAAATAAGGAAGAATTTAAACAAAGCACTAGACTGAGGTGCCACCGGTGGAAAAGAAACTTCAGAGCAGGACTCACTGGTGGGCCAGGAACTCAGCTGTGAGAAATTGGGGGCTGCAGGGAAAATAACAATCCACAGAAATTATTAAAGTCATCCTGTGAGCAAGAAGGTGGCTGCAAGGAAAGCTGTGAGGCAACACTTGACACTATGGCTCAAGCAAAGGGGGCTCTCTACACAGTTGCTGTGATGGGCAATGGGCAAGGGACAAAGAACTCCCTGCAGGACAGCAGCCCTGGGAATACATGGACATGAGAAAACTAGGTGGTATTAGAACCCATCTCAGAGAGCTTACTGAACATAGTTACAAGGAATCGTTTAATCACTTCTCGCAAAGGAGGAAATGGGAGGTGAAATCCCTTCAAAAGCATGCTTGAATAACATCAGGTGTGCATCAAACAGCCTTTTAAGAAAGGTGGGTCCAGTTAATGGCAGAGTTTTGATCTGCTGATTGGATCTGCTCGTTTGCACCAGAGCAGAATTGCTCAGGACAATGGGGAGGAAACAGAGCTCTGCTGCAGGAGCCTGGCCTCTCGACCCCTTCCCCCCACATCGTTGAACCTTCCCTCTTCCTCGAGAAGAGAACAAAAGTCTTACAGAATGCTGGCCACCACATTCTTAGCCTGTTGGGGACAACCACATACCACGGTCTGGCCCTATTCAGAACAAGTTTGTAACTACTCTGAAAGGATGATTTGGTAATAAATAATGGACATATTCAAGTCCATAGCCTTTAATTCAGAAATTTAACTTCTAGGAATCAGACCCCAGAAACACTCATAAATATGTACAAAGATGTTTGTATGAGTTTTAGTGCAGCATTGTGTATAATAAGGAAAGAATAAGAATAATCTAAATGTCCATCTATAAGGGATTAAATTATACTAGATCTATATTTCACATCTAAGAAGAAAAAGGTAGATATATATCCTACTGATACGGAAGGAGGTGCATACCACATTGCTCAGAGAAATGAAAAGATAGAAAAAAAATATAAATTTTATCATCTCATTTTTGTTATAATTTTTTCCATTTTTAAACAGATTTATAAATGTACATGTATGCTGCGGTATAGATAGATGTAAATAGATACACACACATTTATATATACACACATATATTTGTACATTCAAATATATGTATACATATTATTTATATATACATACATGGAAAACCTGTGAAAAGAAACTCACACCAAACAATAAACAGCAGTTAACTCTAGGGGACTGGGATGGGGGAGAAGGGACTTTTATTTATTTATTTTTGTTGTATTACCTCTGTATTATCTGAATTTTTTAAATAGTTTCAGTTGTGTTTTTCTAATTTTAGAAAACAATAAAGATATTTTAAAGAAGTTAAAAACCACGATACTTTTATGTTGGTATCAATCAGGATTGCATTACAACCAAACTAATTATATCACCTTAAAGTACAACAAAAGAGCATAAAGCATTCTTTGTTTTCTGCCACCCTACAACAATTATAGAGAAATGGAAGCATTGATCACTACTCATATCACAACCTTTTCAAAGGGATCCACATTTCATATCAGACAAACAGGGCTGGAGCCAGATTTGCAGGGCTCAAAGCTTACTCAATGGAGGCCTCTTTGAAGAAAAAGAAAGCATATGAAAATATGAACATAAAATCAGGTAAAAGGGTGACTATTTATTTTGGAAAAGAAAAGAAATCAAGAAAAATAAGTTTAAAAAAGCTGACAAATGCAATCACATAATCCAAAAATAAAACTTTTTGTTTATTAGGACATGTCTATAATACTATTTTCCTACACCTTCTTAATGTATTCTCCTACCTTTTCTAAGTGGTTACTCTTTTTATTTAGGACTTTCTTTTTTCTTAATTTTTTAATTGAAATATAATTGACATATGACATATTTGTTTCAGGTGTACAACATAATAATTTGATATATATTGCAAAATGATCACCACAATGACTCTAGTTAACATCTATCACCACACATTGTTAATTTTTTTTCTTGTGATGAGAACTTTTTTTAAGATTTTATTTAAATTCCAGTTAGTTAACATAATTGTACTATTAGTTTCAAGTGTACAATATAGTGATTCAACAATTCTGTACATTACTCAGTGCTCATCACAAGTGCACTCCTTAATCCTCATCACCCATTTCACCCATCCCCCACCCATCTCCCATCTGGTGACCGTCAGTCTGTTCTCTATAGTAAAGAGTCTGTTTCTCGGTTGGCTTCTCCCTCTCCGCCCCTCCTTTCCCTTTGCTTGTTTGTTTTGTTTCTTAAATTCCACATATGAGTGAAATCATATGGTATTTGTCTTTCTCTGACTAACTTATTTTGTGATGAGAATTTTTAAGATCTATTTCCTCAGCAATTTCCAAATATACAGTACAGTATTATTAACTACACTCACCATGCTGTACACTATGTCCCAGGACTTATTTATTTTATAACTGGAAGTTTGTACCTTTTGACCACCTTCACCCATTTCACCCAAACCCCAACTGCCATCTCTGGCAACCATCAATCTGTTCTCTGTATTTATGAGTTCAGAGGGGTTTTTGTTTGTTTTTGTTTTTTATTCTATATATAAGTAAGATCCTACAGTATTTGTCTTTGACTTATTTTACTTGGCATAATGCTGTCAAGGTCCATTTTTGTTATTACAAATGGCAGGATTTTGTTCTTCTTTATGGCTGAATAATATTCCTCTGTGTGTGTGTGTGTGTGTGTGTGTGTATTACATTTTCTTTATTCATCCATCAATGGGCTCTTAGGGTACTTCCATGTCTTAGCTATTGTACATAATGCTGCAAAGAACATGGGAGTACAGATATCTTTTCGAGTAAGTGTTTTTGTTTTCTTTGAAAAAATACCCAGAAGTGGAATAACTGGATCATACGGTGATTCTATTTTTAATTTTTTGAGGAGCCTCCATACTTTTTTCTACAGTGGCTGCACCAATTTACAATCCCACCAACAGTGCACAAGGGTTCCCTTTTCTCCACATCCTCACCAACACTTATTTCTTATCTTTTTTGGTAATAGCAATTCTAACAGATGTGAGATGATATCTCCTTGTGATTTTGACTTGTATTTTCCTAATGATTTGTGATGTTAAGCACCTTTTAATGTACCTGTTGGCCACCTGCAAATCTTCCTTGGAAAATGGTCTATTCAAATCCTCTGCCCAACAACTCTACTGAGTTGTATTATTTCTTTATATATTTTGGATATTAACTCCCTATTAGATATATGATTTGCAAACATTTTCTCCCATTAGGTAGGTTGCCTTTTCATTTTGTTAATGGTTTCCTTTACTGTGCCTTTTAGTTTGGTGTGGTCCCACTTGTTTATTTTTGCTTCTGTTGACTTTCCTTTGGTGTCAAATTTTAAAAAAAAATCAAGCACCAAAACCAACACTTGTTATCTTTTGTCATGCCATTCTAACAGATGTGAAGTGATATCTCACTGTAGGTTTTTTTTAATGGGTCTCAAATTCTGTGACAGATTTTTGGTCAAGTTGTTTCCATTAAAAGTATTAACTAAAAACTAATAACTTAAAACTCACACACACACACACACACAGGTCCACAAAACATTCTCTTCTCCTTCTGAAGGTTTTACTATGCATTGTTGTCATTAACCAGTCTTTTACTAGTAAACTTAAATGGTCAATTGCCACAAACAATTTTGAGACTGTCATTCCACCACTGATTAAGACTGGGGTGGCAGGTATTGGGGGTAATATTCATTTAGCCTTCTGAACTTTCTGGGCAGACCTGGTGACCTTGCCAGCTCCAGCTGCTTTCTTGTCCATTGCTCTGATGACATCCAAAGAAACTGTCTGTCTCATGTCACAAACAGCAAAATGGCTCTGGATACAGATAGGCTTGCCAGAAGCTATCTCAATGAAAGCAGCATCACCAGATTTCAAGAATGTGGGGCCATCTTCCAGCTTTTTTCCAGAATGACGATCAATTTCCTTCAGCTCAGCAAACTTGCAAGCAATGTGAGCTGTGTGACAATCCAGCACAGGTGCATATCAGCACTGATTTGGCCTGGATGGTTCAGGATAATCACCCGAGCCATGAAGCCAGTTGCTTCCATTAGTGGGTCATTTTTACTGTCACCAGCCACATTGCCACAATGAACATCTTTGACAGATATGTTCTTGACATTGAAGCCCACATTGTCCCGAGGAAGAGCTTCACTCAAAGCTTCATGGTGCATTTCAACAGACTTTACTTCAGTTGTAACATTGACTGGAGCAAAGGTGACCACCATGCCAGGTTTAAGAACACCAGTCTCGACTCGGCCCACAGGGACAGTACCAATACCACCAATTTTGTAGACGTCCTGGAGAGGCAGACGCAAGGGCTTGTCAGTTGGACGAGTTGGTGGCAGGATGCAATCCAGAGCTTCACGCAGTGTGGTTCCACTGGCATTCCCATCTTTACGGGTGACTTTCCATCCCTTGAACCAAGGCAGGTTAGCACTTGGCTCCAGCATGTTGTCACCGTTCCAACCAGAAATTGGCACAAATGCTACTGTGTCGGGGTTGTAGCCAATTTTCGTAACGTAGGTGCTGACTTCCTTAACGATTTCCTCATATCTCTTCTGGCTGTAGGGTGGCTCGGTGGAATCCATTTTGTTAAAACCAACAATTAGTCGTTTCTCGTTGTGGTTTTGATTTGCATTTCCTTGATGGTTAGTGAGGTTGAGCATTTTTTCATATATCTGTTGGCAATTTGTAGGTCTTCTTTGAAGAAATGTCTAGTCAGTTATTCTGCCCATGTTTTAATTGGATTGTTCTTTTTTTTTCCTATTGAGTTGTGTGATTTCTTCATAGTTTTGGATATTTGATATGCAAATCAAATCCTTATCAGATATTTGATATGCAAATATTTTCTACTATTCCATAGGTTGCCTTTTCATTTTGCTGATTGTTTCTTTTGCTATGCAGAAGCTTCTTAGTTTGATATAGTCCCACTCATTTATTTTGTGTTTGTTTGTGCTTTGGATGTCAAAGCAAAAAAAAAGAAATATTGTCAAGATCAATGTCAAAGAGATTTGTCTTTATGTTTTCTTCTAAGAGTTTATGGTTTCAGGCTATGCTTAAGTTTTTGGTCCATTTTGAATTAATTTTTGTGGGTGGTATAAGATAAGTGTCCAATTTCATTCTTCTGTGTATGGTTATTGAGTTCTCCCAGCACCATTTATTAAAGAGACTGTTCTTTCTCCATTGCATATCTTGACTCCTTTGTTGTAAATTAATTCACCATTATATGTGTGGGTTTATTTCTGGGCTCTTTATTTTTTCCACTGAATAGAATCTATGTGTCTGTTTTATGCTAATACCATACTGTTTTGATTACTATTACCTTATAGTACAGTTTGAAATCAGGAAGTGTAATGCCCCCAGCTTTGTTTTTCTTTCTCAGAATTGCTTTGGTTAACTGGGATCTTGTGATTCTTTACACAATGAGAATGGCCATTATTAAAAAGACAAGAGATTACAGGTATTGGTGAGAATGTGGAATATTTGTGCACTAGTAGAAGAAATGTAAATTGGTGCAGCCACTATGGAAAATAGTATGGAGATTCCTCAAAAAAACTAAAAATAAAACCGCCATATGATCCAGAAATCCCACTTCCAGGAATTTATATGAAAGAAATGAAAATACTAATTCAAAAAGGATCCTCACTCCCATGTTCTTTGCTGCAATATTCACAATAGTCAAGACATGAAAACAACCCAAGTGTTCATCAGTGGGTGAATGGATAAAGAACATGTGGTATATATACAATGGAATACTATTCAGCCACTTAGAAAAGAAGAAAATCCTGCTATTTGTGACAACATGGATGGAACTTGAGGGTGTTATGCTAAGTGAAATAAGTTAAAGAAAAACAAATACTGTATGATTTCATTTATATGTGAAATCTAAAATTATCAAATTCATGGAAACAGCATAGAATGGTGATTACTAGAGGGGGTGGGGGTGAGGAAAACGGAGATGTGGTCAAAGGGAACAACTTTCAGTTATAAGATGGTAAGTTCTAGGGATCTAACATACAGCATGGGGATTATAACAATAATACTGTATTATATACTTGAAAGTTGTTAAGAGAGTAAATCTTAAATGTTCTCACTACAAAAAAGAATGGTCACTAGATGATGCAATGGAAGTATTAGCTAACACTAGGGTGGTAATCATTTTGCAAAATATAAGTGTATCAAATCAACACATTGTATACCTTAAATTCACATAATGTTCTATGTCAATTATATCTCAATAAAGTTAAAAAATAGAGCCAATCACAATGATTGTCAGGTGGCTGTGCCTATGTGACTTTAAGAATATTGCCAAAGAATATGACCAAATAGCTATAAAGGGATTAAAATTGAACCATAAATCTGAGTTGATTAAATAATATGAATTATTTAAAATGCAAATGTATGTAAAAAGCTGTTGTAATTCTCAAAATTTAAGTCATGAAAGAATATTTTTTATGGCAGATAAAGAGCAGAGGTTCTTAATGACTAAGAGGAAATGGACAAAAATAGCAATATGTACTTATACTGAAATAGAAAAAGATTACATATGAGAAGAATCTTCCTAAAGGTATATTTATCACTGGCCAAGTATTAAAAGCTTATAATTCACTATTTAAAGATATCTTTATTTTACAATAATTTGCAATTTACAGAAAAACTGCAAAAGTGTACAGAGAGTTCCCTTCACCCAGGGAACTCTCTTGCCCCACAATTAACATATCTATGGTCCATTTGTCAAAATTAAGAACATGGGTACAATAATATTAACTAAACTACAGGCTTTATTCAGATTTCACTCAAAAAATTTGAAAGCAGGGTCTCAAAGAGATATTTGTGCATCTATGTTCACAGCAGCATTATTGACAATAGCTAAAATGTGGAAGCCACCAAAGTGTATATCCATGGATGAAGTGATAAGCAAAATAGAGTATGTCCATAATGTAGTATTATTATTCAGCTTTTAAAAGGAAGAAATTCTGATATATTCTACAACATGGATGAATCTTGAAGACATTTTACTATGTGAAAAAAACTAATACTATATAATTCCACTTATATGAGATACTTAAAGTGGTCAAAATCATAGAGACAAAGTAGAAGGGTGGTTACCAGGGACTGGAGGAAGGATGGAAAGAATAGTAATTTTCCAGTGGGTATAGAGTTTCAGTTTTACAAGATGAAAAGAATAATGGAAATGGATAGTGGTGATAGTTACACAACAGCATGAATGTATTTAATATAACTAAATGGTACACTTAAAAAGGGTTAAGAGGGGGGCACCTGGGTGGGTCAGTCGGTTAAACATCTGCTTTTGGCTCGGGTCATGATCCCAGGTCCTGGGATTGAGTCCCACACCAGGCTCTCTGCTCAGTGGAGAGTCTGCTTCTCCCTCTACCCCTCCCCCCACCCCCACTTGTGCTCTCTCTCTCTCTCTGCCAAATAAATAAATAAAATCTTTTTTTAAAAAAAGGGTTAAGATGGTAAATTTTATGTTATGTGTATTTTACCACAATTTAAAAAATTGAACAAAGGAAAAAGACAACCATTTTTCTTCCATTTTCTGAGAGTGTTATGTGCTTTGGAGTTGGACATAGCAAAATTCTAATGGCTGCATGATCTTGGACACATGACTGAACTTCTCTAAGTCTCAGTTTCTCCTTAATAAAGTGAAGAAAGGTAAAATTCTTGGCACACTGCCCAGTACATAATAAGCACCCAATAAATACTGGACATCAGGGTACATGGGTGGCTCAGTCAGATAAGCATCAGACTCTTGATTTCCAACGAGGTCATGATCTCAGGGTCATGGGATTGAGCCTCCAGTCGGGGTCTGCGCTCAACTTGGGTCAGCTTGAGATTCTCATCCTCTCCCTCTGCTCCTCCCCCTGCTCACACATGTGCTCTAAATAAATAAATAAATGAATAAATAAATAAATAAAATCTTCTTAAGAAATACTAAACATAGGAGTAGGAGACCTGGATTTCGTCTGGTCTCAGGATTTCAGCTGGATAGGGATCAAACCATTCTGAACACCTACAAACTCAACAGGAGATCGAAGAAAAGAATAGCAACAACTCTCTGAACAGAAAAGCGACCACTTTCTGGAAGGTAGGACGTGCGAAGTGAATCCGAGGCGATATTTGGGAGGATAGACAGCGGGGGAGGGGGCCTCCGTGGGCTGCTTCTGGCAAGTGATAGAGACGCGGAGCACAAAATCGGAACTTTTAGAAGTCAGCTCCGCTGAGGGACGTCGCTCCAGTGGAACCCTCGCGGGACAGTGTGGTCTCAGGACCCTCAGGGTCACAGAAAGACGGGGGGTGCCTGAGTGCGGCAGAGCTCCTGGGTATCAGAGCAGGGAAGCTGGCTGCAGAGACGGAGCCGAGGCACGGGCTCTCAGCTCAGGGTTGCCATAAACTGATCAGCGGCCCAGTCGGGCCACTGCTCCTCCAGCAGGGACCCAACAAGTGGCAGATCCAGGGAGACTCCCCTTCCTCCCCGGGGAGGAGCAGTGCGAGAGCGCACCGCAGGGATCTGCTGGTTTTGGAGACCACACGGGGTCGTGCACCAGAGATAGAAATGCTCGATCACAGGCCAGGTGAGCACGGAATGCAGCCAGAGACTGGGGAGACGGGAGTGACTGACTGCTTTTCTCTGGGGACTCACTGAGGAGTGGGGCCCCGAGTTCTCAGCTCCTCCAGGGCAGAAAATGGGAGGCCACCATTTTCACTCTTATCCTCCAAAACTGTACTGAAAGCTTGCAGGGAACAAAAGCTCCCGAGAGCAAACCCAAGCAGATTACTTAGCAGGGACCAGGAAAGGGCAGAGCAATTCCACCTCCGGCAAAGACATTTGGGAACCACGGCAACAGGCCCCTCCCCCAGAAGATCAGCAAGAACAGCCAGCCAAGACCAAGTTTACCACCAATCAATGAGAACGGCGGAATTCCAGCGCTGGGGGAATACCGCACATAGAATTCATGGCTTTTTTACCATGATTCTTTGGTCTTTCAATGTTAATTTTTTTTAACTGTCTTTTTTTTTAATTTTCTTCTTCCCTTTTTCAACGAACATCTTATCAATGCCTTTTTTAAAAAAAAAAAATTTTATTTTTCATTTTTAGAGTCATAATCTATCCCTTCATAGTAGTTACCCTTATTTTTGGCATATATGTATAAGTTGTTCTCTCTTTAAAATTTTGAGATACAGTTTCTTCTAACAAATCAAAATATACCCTAAATATCTAGTGTATGGCTTTGTTCTAGTCTCCTACCTGATCACATTCTCTCCCCTTTTCTTTCTTTCTTTTTTTTAATCCCCTTCTTTCTTTTTTCAAAAAACTTCCTATCTTATCAATTCCTTTTATAAAATTTTTTATAATTTTCATCTTTACAGTCATATTCCATCCCTTCATCGTATCAACCCTTATTTTGTACATATATGTCTTTCTTTAAAATTTTGGGAGGCACTTTCTTCTAACAGACCAAAATATACCCAAAATCTAGTGTGTGGCACTGATCTATGCACCAGCCTGATCATATTTGGTCATATTCTGTTTTTTTTGTTTTGTTCTGTTTTTGTTTGTATTTATCTTTTTCTTTTTCTTCTTTTT